AAGTTGTACACTGAGACAAAACTGTACTAAATGAGAAGGGTGCACCATTATGAAAGTGGAACGAACTCAGTTGCCTGAAAAGGGTGTCCCCCGGTAGTTTGAGCATGTGTGGCCTAAATAAGCTAACCCCCCCTCCCTTACCTTATTTAGGCCATATGTGGCCTAAATAAGCACTCCCTTTTAATTTATCATTTAACTTAAAATCTGCCCAAAAAAAGTCTACTACTTGACTTCAAAAATTAAAATGAATCTTACAAACATAACAAAGTGAATAGAAAAATATCTCATGACTCAAGAGATGATCGCAGAATCATAGAGCTTTAAACAGATTAGCATACATCAGGTGATTAGACTCAGATGACTGTGGAGTCTTCACTCATTCAAATCACAACAAAAAGTATACAAAACAAAAATAAAGCTCCTATCTCTAATATTGACCATACACTTTCCCCCTTTTTTTAAAGAGTCACTAAATGTGAGGCATCGTGGTGAAATCAGTCGCTTGTCAAAATAATGAAATCAAAGAAACTGACACTTTTCCTCCTCTATGGCAATTTAAAAAAATTGAATTCTTGTTTTTTGGCTCAACACTTTTCATGTCCATTTAAAAAGATATCTTTGCGTGGAAATCCCTGAAAACCATTGACTACAGGGGCACACAAAAATGTAAATTTTCAGTTTCCAAGGACTCTCAAGATATGGAAGTGACAGAACTTTGGTGGCCATTTTCTTGCTAATTTTACCCCTGAAACCAGGCGACCCCACCTCCTTCAATTGCAAATAGCTCAACTTCTATTAGAATTAGATGGGTATTTTTTTCATCAAATGCAAGACAAATGAAGAAGCTTTAAGAGGTCATGAATAACTCCATACGCTCAAAAATTGACGAGCGCCTGATTCCACTGCGTCGCACCACAAATAAGTACAAAGAAATATACATACCAAGTCTATGCATGCCTTTGTGCACTTGAGTGTATGTCTGTGAGTGTGATGGAGGGTGGGGGAAGGGGGAGGGGGACAGAGTCACAATCAGTAAGAGGGGAAGGAAAAAGAGAAAAAAAGAAACCTTTTTGCAATGTGCCTTATGATTACTTAAAGCTTGTAAGAAGTCAATGTTCTGGATTAATATATGACACACTCATTATTCACAGAAAGAAGAGACAAAAGACTCCAATTAACAATGTATATAACAAATAACAAGATCACATATCATTCAGTACATTTTTGACAGTCGGCAACTTTGATAAAAAGTGCTAGGTTAGAGAAAATATTATTCCAACCTTGTGTTTGGAAAAAAACCATTGGTGTCACAAGCAATCCACTGAAGTCCATATGGGTACTTTTTACATCAGAGATAAAAAAAACTAGTTTTTGATGTATTGCCCCTATCAGGAATCATGAAAGGCAAAAAAATTGTAAGCCTTGACCATATAGTGTTATACTGCATTTTGGTGGTGGTCAATGGTGCATCTTTGATAGAGCATTGAGAGTGTGTAGCAATCGAAAATTCTAAAAAATTGGACTCAAGCAGATTGCTTGCGACAGTGACAATACGTTTCATTCCCGCCAGAAGCTTAAAAAAAGAAATCTTTGTTAAGAAAAAGAAAGAAAAACATTTTGTTAAATAATGTCACACTTTCAACTGCGTGACTTTAATATGAAATCCATACCATATGGAACCATCACATTTACAAAATACTCCAGTTGAAGCAAGCAAGCACTTTGAACAAAATGCAAAGCCAGGACAAGGGGAAGCAAGAAGAGAGGTGCCCATCATTTTAATTAACCAGGCAGATTATTATACAGGTCTCAGTATCCGTAGTTTTTGTTTGCAACTAACAGAGGGTCCAGTTCTGTGACCATTTGACCTAAGAGGGAACTAATGGGGTCAGGGGGTAAGGGCATTCTGAAAATGTGACAAACAAGTACCCTGTTCTGGAGGATCATTCAACATCAAGTGCTCGCTTCAGCCAATGGACATCTGGATACAGAACTTTCCAACAGCACGGGACTTCTTGGTCACGATGACGATTAGTTTCACATTTACATGTTCATTCCCCCCTCAGGTAAGGAAACATTTGGACCGCCCTGAACTCGAATCAGACACCACCACAAGACGCAGTCACATTACCAGGAAGGGCTTGAGCTGGAGTAGTCATCAGTTGAACTTTTTCTTAGTTGCTGTATAGCGCTCCATGTACTGAGGAAATAGACAGATCAACAAAAATTAATCTTTAAATACAAGAATCTTTTTTAGAATCCTACCATGAAGATGAAAAAAAAGCATACATGGTAAGTAAACTTACATAGATTTAACATAGATTAAGCACAGAACGCTAAAAAAGTAGGTACCACAAACTGAAATTTCAAAGTCCTCTGATTTCATAGTTCATATAGCTTCATTTTTTAAAAAGTTTTGAACGTCTGAACTTGCAGAAAAATGCTCTATTTTTAAAATTGCGAAATGTCGGCACTTTGAGATGTCATAACATTCTTAAGTTTGAATGGACATTCACAAAAACTTGTAAACACACACCCATGCACACAGAGAACAAGCCCAATTTTTTTCAGGGCTACCATATAACCAGAAGATGGAAATTTATTGAAGTAAACATGGCTTTTTGACCAAAATCGCAAGAAATACAAAGGGCGGTGGAAAATCACCACTCGCGACCACCGGCATATCGGCTGCGTGGCGGGCCGCGTCGACGGGAAGGAGAAAAAATTTATACGAAACTGGGCCGATGGTCGCTGCAGTGAAAACCTCGATAGTATTGTTTTTTTATCCCACAAGATTTTGCTTTCAAAAGAATCGTTGATTCAAATAAATAATACCACTAAAAAGAAGAAAAGCTCCTCTTTCTTCTGATATATCAAGTGTCTGCTGGTATGCATGATCACACTGTGTTTTAGGAGGGTAAAAATGTGGATTTTGGTCTCCATGACAGTGCGCCACGGGGGCGCACGGCCAGTTTGCGGTACCTACGCTAAAGTTGGATGAAACAGAAGTCAGGGAATATCACTGAGCACAGTTGTCTTTTTTTACTTTTCTCTTTTTTTTTGGGTGGTCCCCAATCAAAATTTCCCTTCAGCCATAGCATTCTTTGTCCGTGTATTAACCGCTCCAACCTGGCCTTTTCCATATAGCCCTGTAATTTGAAGTAATTACAAAATCTAAAAGGCAACGAATTATGAAAAAAGAAAACAAATTTTCAGTAATAATCATAGATTGCATTAATTACATACCTAATCAAGAGTAAGCTCTATGCACTTTACATGTTTTAATACCCCTACATAGACCTGCATGTTTGCCGACAATCGTCTGAAATCCGACAATCGTGACCCGACCCGCGAGCTGGTCGATGCTATGGCAAGGCCCACCTGTATTAGTCAATGTGCGAAGTACGAGGCCTGGCCGACTGCCAGCGCCCCCTTTTTCTCCCGTCGGCTTTGTCGGCACTTTCGTTTTCATGCCGACCGCCGACGTCAGTGTTTCCGACATAATTGTCGGAACCTGAGTAGAAATACGAATACGAAAAAGTACGACGACCTAAATTATCTACTTTCAGTTTCGTGCTCGAGCGGCTATTTTGAATTTCGTTTGTTGACTGATTGTTCTGATCATGTGGATTCTTTCAAGTCCGACTCACTTGTTCCACTAGATCTAGTTCTAGATATCTAGATTTATATAGATCATTATAGACTTCAATGGAGGATTCACATTCCAATTTTATTGTTGCAAACCCTATTATAGGTTGTGCTATAATATTAATGTTGGTAAAAAGCATTCATTTCATCAGGTGCGTGAATTATTCATTTATTTAGAATTTAGAATCTCTAGACTCAGCTGAGTCCCTCTGTTCGGAATCGATGCGGATTTCTCATTCAAGGCCTAGATCTATTCCTATTCACTTGTTCTACTAGATTCTAGATCTAGATCTAGATATGTAGATCTAATCTAGATTTATTTAGATTACTAGATCTAGATCTTCTAGATCTATATGAAGGATTCTCATATTCCAATTCTATTGTTATTATATCAAACCATAACAATGTAGGCCAGATAAATGCTCCTTGTTTGTTTTGGAGTGTGTGTTTTTTAAATTTTGAACTTGTGCTGGCCTTTTTACAGGAGGGCCTTTGCAGGGTTTTTTGGGGGTAGGGTTAGACTTAGTAAGGGTTAGGGTTAGGGTTAAGTCTCTTCTTTATTGTGTTGTTGGGGTTGTCGCTCGTTAGTCGGAAATCCTTACTTTTACTTTTATGACACCCACAATTAAAAGCTCTAGGGTTATTTATGGGGGGGGGGGGGGTTACACAAAATTTTCAGACAATCTGGTTGAGGCTCACATGCAGGTCTACCTACAGTACAGATTCCACAGCTTTCTGAAACATTCTCAGCTTTCTAAAACATTCTCAGCTTTCTATGAAACATTAAGTATTGAGGGAAATATGAATGTGAAGCTTTTCGGCATCACATCAAATTAGCAACACAGTTGGCTAAGCTGTTCACCAGCAAACGGAATGTTAACACTTATCTATGAGAGGGGTAAACCCACTATGCCGGGGCCCTCTTTTGGTGTGAAATAAAAAGTTGAAATATACCTCACTAAATTGGTCATTTAAATCAAAAGAAGTGAACCAATTTTGAAAGTTCTTCATCTAATGAACGAACTCCCGCTAAAAGAGACCTGTTTTCGGCATTTGCCAAAAAGTAATTTGTCATCATAAAGGAACATGCCCAGGCCGCTGTCAGCGGCTCACTGGCAGAGCGGTTCTCACTGTGAGCCGCTGGGAGTGGCTCGCCGGAGATAGGGAGCTAAGAAACAAAAATATGGAATTCAAAGCAAAGGCTGGCGTTACAAAAAGCAGTACCAATGGCTATGACTACACTACTTTTACCTCATCATAGCCATCCAACTGATTGAAAGCCTTCATGCCAAACATGTTTCCTTCAACGGCAAACAGACTAATTTTGGAGGTCTTCATAATTTCAGGTGTAAATGCTGAAATATCCAGGCAATTTTCTTCCAGTCTCAAGACTTTCAGCCTCTGGCATTGAGCAATGGTATTGGGAAGAAGTGAAACCTGAAAATATCATATCAGATACGTTAGAACTTCAATGCCAAGAACCACATCATATCAAAATTAGATTCATTACATGATATCACTTTGATTTGGTGGGATTTTTTTAAAAATCTAGATTGAAAGGGAACCTATCAAGAATGGAAATAGAGCTTATGAAGTAAGAATACAAATTAATTTATGCAGATAGTAACTCAAAGATGAACAGACTTCCCTTACAACAATTAAGAAAACCCTTTAAAAAAATTAAGTATTGTAATTACAAGATATGACAATCCCAACTAAACTATACACTTAACCGTCCACAAAAAAAGAATAATATGTAATGGAATCAAGGAAGCTTTTCATTACAATTCAACCTACAAAGACTTGATTTCATCATGAATCATCAATTAAGATCTTCACAACACTGTTTTGTATATGTCTTCAAAATGCCAGTATTTACAGATTGAGCTTGGAAAGCCATGTACCATGTGAGTTGTTACCTCCAAGTCCACAGACTTAATATCAAACCTTGAAGTGGGTGGTTGGCCGTTAGCACTGGTGTGGTTTGCCTCTTCTTTCTATTAAACATCTATCGTCCTTATCTCTTTTCTTTGTTTGTTACTCTCTAATAACACCTCTAGTTTTTGGCACTTATATGACCTAACAGTGTTGTAAGTGCCACAAAACTCTTGATTTAGAAAAAAGGGCTTTGGAAGAAAATGATCACCTGATTTTGATTTAAGTTCAGTTCAGTGGCTTGCAATCCGGACATGTCTTGAGGCAGTTCTGTTATCGCATTCTGGGACAGATCTATGGAGTCCAGCTGCTGCAAATTTAATAGCTCCTTAGGGAATGCCGTAAGTCTGTTTCCAGATAAAGCCAAGGTCTTCAGATGGGAGAGATTAGCAAATGAACGTGGAATGCTAGTCAATGAGTTTGAACATAAACTGACAACTTCCAGTTTTTTCAGCTGCCCAAAGTCCTCTGGTAGAGATGCTGAAAAGAAAGAAAAAAAAAAAGGCTGCCGAATTAGTCCCTTTTGATAATCTAATGTTAAAATGGCAGAGACAAATTCTTTCATGAAAGAAAGTTACATGGGATCAGTACAGACATTAAAAAAATATATATCCATTGTGGTCCATATACTGCAGTATCTGTTAATCGAGAGGAGATATGTCATGCTAAAAGGACTCACTGTGGCCAACCCTCATGACACTATCAGTACTCTATAGATGCTTTCTGAGCTTATTTCCGCATCACTATGACATACTGACTATCAAAATTGCCTTATTATGTAACCTCTACTCTGTGTATATCACACCTTTTTTGCAGGAGTAGAAATGCCTATAACAACGATGTGATATAAAAGCTATTCCAGGACTGGGGAACAATACATAATATAAAAACTTACTGTACATTCATGACTGCATCAGAGAATGTACTGTAAAGTTATATTGCAGTGTGGCTAAATACACTTTAAAACTGTAAGTGTGTGTGAGTAGAGGGGGGGATTCCTTACCCTCTCCTTGTTCCCTAACAGCAACAAAAAGAAATGAGGCTTAGATTCGAAGACCATTAAATCTGATCTCATAAATCTGTATCTCAATACTGAACAAACTTAACAAATCAAATTAAAAACTTCTAAGGTGGCAGTCTCATGCACAAGGTAATAAAATCAGTAAAATTGCTCATTACAGAAACATTAACTCACTGAGCACCGCTCCCGCAGCATACGCGGTTCGGTAAAATTCGTGTTGGGGACCGCGACTGCAGCATACGCGGGTTCAACTATATTTGAAAAATGCTTGCAAATAGCCCCAGTGGTTTAAACTTGTGGCGTCGGTGGCCTAGTGGTTAGGCTCTCGGACTCGCAACCATAAGGTCGTGGGTTCGAATCCCGTCAGGAGCCCGATGTTGTGTCCTTGGGAAAGGCACTTTGCACAAATTTTCCTCAT